ATTAGTGGAATGCACTTTCATGGTGCATATTTGTCTAATTATGATATTTGGTTAAAAGATCCCAAGTCCATCACCCCATCATCACACATTCTTTGGTCTTTAATTGGTCAAGATATTCTTAACTCATATACCTCACAATACTTCTCAGGAATAACTATCACATCTGGCTTTTATCAATTATGGCGTTCCTCAGGTATCATTACACAGTCCCAGCTCAAATATGCATGTGCAGCTTGTCTAATAGCTACGCTTATCTGTCTATCTGGCTCTTATCTCCACATGCAGCTTATGTCCAAATTCACTAGCTTCATAAGATTCAAGTCCTTATCGCAAGATCATCTCATAATTATATTTGGCTCCAGCTCTATTGCTCACTGTGCACATCAGATACACATTTTGCTCCCAGTTAATTCCTTATTAGATTCAGGTATCTGCATTCGACACACAAGCTGCTACACCTCACAATGCATCAGTAATTTAAACCTGCAAACAAGTATAGCTACAACAAGTAAGTTGTTAAATCCCTCAACAAGAAGTATATTCCTTGCTCAAGTTGCAGCACATCATTTTACAACAGGAGTAGTCTTTATCATACTTGGTATTATTAGATTCTTCACGTCTCAACTTAGTATACTTACATCTTATATAGATTACCATGCAGAGCTATCCATTAATCTAGCAACCTGGGCATCTTTATCAATAATAGCAGCCGTCAGATTAACAGCAACCCCAGTCTATCCTTACCTGTCAACAGATTACTCTACAGTCCTGTGCCTCTTTGTCCACCACACCTAGATTGCTAGTTTTCTATTAACTGGTGCTGGAGCTCATGCATCCATATTCACACTAAGAGGTTCAGCCACATCTGAGATAAGACATCGAGACCCCATCATAGGTCACCTAATCTGGGTATGTATAGCTATAGGATTACACTCATTCACTCTTTACTGCCATAACGACACTTTAGAAGCATTAGGACGTCCAGAAGATACCTTTTATGACAACTCTATCCAGTTAAAAGCAATCTTTGCCCTCCAATTCCAACACCTTATAAATATAGAGCTCCAGCCAGATATCGAGATCTTAGATAGAAAGATTATACGTATAAGCCAAGAATTGGGAACAGCTGATTTTATAGTCCACCACATTCATGCATTTACAATTCACATAACTTTCTTAATTCTTTCAAAGGGTATACTCTATGCTAGAAACTCTAGATTGGTATCAGATAAGTTGGAACTTGGTTTTACCTATCCATGTGATGGACCAGGTAGAGGTGGTACATGTCAAATATCACCTTGGGATCACTTATTCTCAGCTGTCTTTTGGATGTATAATTCTTTTAGTATAGTAATCTTTCACTACTTTTGGAAGATGCAATCAGATCTTTGGGGGTCATATATATCTCTCGATCTGCACATCTCTCATTACAGCCAAGGTGACTTTAGTGCTAACTCTATTACCATTAATGGTTGGTTGAGAAAGTTCCTATGGTCCCAAGCATCCCAAGTAATCCAATCCTATGCTCTTTCGACATGCGTGCCATATGGGCTCATTTTCCTCATAGCTCATTTCATTTGGGCATTCAGTTTAATGTTCCTCTTTAGTGGTAGAGCATACTGGCAAGAATTAATTGAGTCCATTCTATGGTCACATCATAAATTAAAGATTATACCTCAATTATTTCAAGGATACTTTTCTTGACTTCTTGAATTTAAGCGACCAAATTGCCACTTTTTGGCCTCATTTTTCTTCATTTTTAGTTGAAAAACACCCGTGTCAGTGAGTTTTTGCACGTTCTCCCCGAAAAATGACTATTTTAGCTGAGGCGCCGGTGCTAAAGTCCTTGTTTTGGACTTTGGATTTATTTCGAGGCCAGCTTGCTGGCCGAGGAAGAGGGCCGAAGGGCCGATATTTTGGTTATTTTCCATCAAATTTTGCTATTTTTAGTACAAAATCACTCGTCTCACTGAGTTTTTTGCACGTTCTCCCCGAATTTACAGCATTTTAGCTATGAGCCCGGTGCTTATTTGTTTGTAAATCCTGGCCCGAAGGGCCGGATTTTACAAACAAATAAGCACTAGGGCCATAGCTAAAATGCTTGTTTTTCGGGGAGAACGTGCAAAAAACTCACTGACACGAGTGTTTTTCAACTAAAAATCATCAAAAAAGCGGCCAAATTTGCTTCTCACGAGCGTGGATTTTTATTCTCACGAGCTTCAACAAAATCCAGCTCACGAGCGTCAAATTCGCAGAAAAGAAGGCTCGCACGAGCGTGAAAATCACTAAAATTACAAACAAAACGCTTAGAAGAGTGGTGCAATTTGTTTTACACAAACAAATCGCACCACTCCTCTAAGCGTTTTGTATTGAAAAACGGCCCTTCGCGCGAAGGGAACTACTTTTCAAAATCCCTGCTGATTCAAAACAAAATACACCCTCGTGATGGCGAAGCCATCACGAGAGGTGTATTTTGTATTGAATCAGCAGGGATGCCCGATTTTGGGTCGCGCGCGTAGAGCAATAAATATTGTTCATAACTGGCCGAAGGCCAGTTATGAACAATATTTATTGCGATAACGCAAATATCTGGCCCTTCGGGCCAGATATTTGCTAGCTACCGGCCCTTCGGGCCGGTTTTAAAGAGCGATAATCGGCCCGAAGGGCCGATTATCGCGATACGGGCCCTTCGGGCCCTACTTTAAAAATAAATAACATAAGTATCGCGGCCCGAAGGGNNCCTACTTAAAAAAGAAAACGCTAAACCAACAGCCGGCCCTTCGGGCCGGCTTAGTATCGCAAGATGGGCCGAAGGCCCATCTTGCTCTTACTCGGCCCCTTCGGGGCCTCGAAACAAATCCAAAGAATTAGGTGCGCGCCTGCACGAGGGTGTTTTCGCTATGAAAACCAGCTTAAAAAGGCCGAGAATTTCCCAACCAAAATGGGCCGCGCGGCCCATCATTTTACAAACAAAACATGCAGGCGGCCTGCTTGTTTTGCTTTACACAAACAAAATACTGCTTGTTTGTTTTTAAATACTAAGCGTTTTCCCAAAATTGACGCTCGTGAGCTTGCTTTTCACAATCTTCAAGATTGAAATTAGGTGCAATTCGAATGAAAGTCATATATTCTACAAGATTCATGGCAAGTAAAGCTTATCTTCTTGGATCACTTACTCTACTAGATGACTGGTTAAAACGAGATCGATTTGTCTTTATTGGTTGGTCAGGTCTACTCTTATTTCCTACAGCTTACTTAGCAGCAGGTGGATGGTTTACAGCCACTACTTTTGTAACATCTTTCTTTACCCATGGTCTGGCCACCTCTTATCTAGAAGCTTGTAATTTCTTAACAGCTGCAGCTTCAACTCCAGCCAACTCTATGGCACATTCATTACTACTACTCTGGGGACCAGAAGCACATCTTGGATTTACAGCATGGCTTTGTATAGGAGGTTTATGGACATTTATTGCTTTTCATGGGCTCATTGGTCTCATAGCATTCTCCCTACGTCAGTTTGAAATAGCACGATTAGTTTTAATTAGACCCTATAATGCACTTGCATTCTCAGGACCAATAGCAGTTTATACATCTGTTTTCCTAATTTATGCAATTGGGCAATCTAGTTGGTTCTTTGCACCAAGCTTTGGCATTGCAGCTATATTTAGATTCCTATTATTCCTTCAAGGTTTTCATAATTGGACATTAAATCCTTTTCATATGATGGGTGTTGCTGGAATATTAGGAGGAGCTCTACTATCAGCTATCCATGGTGCTACTGTCATTAACACTCTTTATCAAGATGCTCGTGCATATACTACTTTTCGTGCTTTCTCACCAAGTCAGCCAGAAGAAACTTATTCAATGCTTACAGCTAATCGTTTCTGGTCTCAAATATTTGGTGTAGCTTTCTCAAATAAGAGATGGCTTCATTTCTTCATGCTATTTGTACCTCTAGGAGGTATGTGGACATCTTCAATTGGTATCATTGGATTAGCATTTAATTTAAGAGCTTATGATTTTATTTCTCAAGAATTGAAAGCAGCAGAAGATCCTGAATTTGAAACATTCTATACAAAGAACATTCTACTCAATGAAGGTATACGACTTTGGATGGCTGTACAAGATCAAGCTCATGAAAATTATCAGTTTCCAGAAGAGGTCTTGCCAAGAGGTAATTCGTTGTAATTTTAACTATTTTAAGGCCCAAAATGGACCATTTCTAATTGAAAAACACCTGTGCGACTCACTTTTTTGCACGTTCTCCCCGAAAAATGACTATTTTAGCTGAGGCGCCGGTGCTAAAGTCCTTGTTTTTGGCCCACTCTTGGGATTTGTT